GCGTATACAAGGCATTTCATGTTCACGGTCAAGGTTTGGCGGGTGTTGTGATAGTATACGGCCTGTGAAGCTCGGCGTCGTTTCACCACGAAGTCTTTGATAATACCGATTCCGCATTTTCGCTGGCAGCTTCCCATTCACAAGAAACACACGGGCCTGTTTTTGCCCAGAGAGAGGAATTGAGACGCGGTAGTAATGTTGTTTGCAACTTGTGCCTGGGATGTGTAGCAGAACAACTGATATGTTCGCTTCCAGTGCCGAAAAAACAACCCTTTGGGTAAGATGTAGTAGACATGATGTTAGAAGATGATTTTACAAGAAACGAGGGAAGCGACACCCCTACCACAGCGGCGAAAAGGTCAACCTAGGGACGTAGAAGGCTTCAGTGTAGTTGAAGTACCGTAGTAGAGAGGTATGGTACTGGGCACGAGCTTTTATTTGTGTGAAAGAGGCCTTTAGTTCAACTTGCAGACTGCCATCTCCCAGCATCTAACCAATTTAAATGATTGGTATTTGAAGTGCAGGCAGGGGGTACCACGATATAGGAGCACCCCGTGCCAACCGCTTCATACTGCTCTTAATCCGAGGTTGCTGCTATTCAAGAATCTCGCACAAGATGCCCATTTTAGTCCTTAGGACAGACGGCTGTAGCATCTCCGCTGTACTTGGACAATTACATGATGTTTTAAAATTGAACATAAACTACTGTATGGATGCAGGCAGCCTTTCGCACATTAACGCAGCTGTCACGGCTTTTTTGTTGGGTTTTGCGGACATTTCGCACGTGCCAGCAAGGATGCGGTCGTCACTGTATGGGCCGGGCCAACCTCATGCGCAAAGCACCGGATCTTTGCGCAATCTCCTTTTTGCTTGAGAGACCTATTAGGTCAATACATTGCATGTCCCTACGCCGACCGGCCGAACCCCGCCTCGCCGCGGCAATGATGCCGAGTAATATCTGCAGCACGGCAATCGCCCCCTGCAAGCGCAACGCCCTTCTCCGCCTCGCGCCGCGGCGGTAGCGGACCGGCGCCGCGCATTCGCGCGCAAGCGAGCGGCGCGGAAGGGCCGGCACGGCGCGGCGCGGGGCGGCGGCGACACGGCGGCGGCGCGCGCTCCGGGAATAGCGGGCGGCGGGGCGGGCGTCGGGCGCGACGGGCGCACGCTCGCGCGCGCTCTC